TTGAAAGTTATGCAGGCATTCAAATTAAGTCTTTGTCGAGTGCAGATACCGAGGATCAAATTCGTTCCCCGACTCATGACTGCTTCATAGCATGTAGTAGTATGCAAATTCCTCCAGTGGTTATTGCAGATGCTGTATTTCATAAACGTTAAATTTTGCCATATGGACTAAGGGAGCTTGCCCGGAAAGTGTTAAACTCTTTGTGAGAAAGGAGTACTTTTACCAGTCCAGAGCTCCCGATGGGCAATACCCATTGTCACGCCACTAAAGCCAGACAGTCAGACACCCAGAGTCTCTGTTGACTATAAAAGCATCCTTAATACAAGTGTGTCAGCCTCGCTACACTACAGAAGAACCTGAAGCTATCCTTTCACGCTTACATAATGCTGGAGTTTGCTTGAAACTGAAATTAAAAGATGCCTATTTACAGATACCGCTTAGTGAATTATGCAGTGAAGTAACTACCAGTAATACGCCTTTCGGTTTGTATGCTTATCCTTTGCTTCCTTTTAGGCTTAGTGTATCTCCAGCCATTATTCAGGATATGACGAATTCAGTTGTGAATGGTTTAGAAGGCGTTGAAGTGTACCAAGTGGATGTGATTGTACATGCTGCTGACGAATTTGCTCATAATTCTCGCTTACTAGTACTATTGAAGCGATTCAAAGACACGAATGTAAATGTGAATCCCAAAAAGTGTATAATCTGTGTTAAACGAAGTAGTTGTCTGGGTTACAATGTGATATACTCTGGATTCAGCCCTAATGCCCATCGTCTTAAACCGCTGGTTGATGTGAAATAACCGACAAACTAAGATAATTGATGGATACCTTACAATACTACTCAAAGTTCATGCGCAGTTTTGCTTCTGTTGCTGATTCGCTGTTCTGATTACTAAACACTAAACAATTTTTGTGGTCTACAGAGCACGAAACGGTGTCCCCGAAGTTACTAAGCTCACTCCAGTCTGTGTTATTCGACCTTTTTGGCCTAAACTTCGTCCTACCGATGCTGTTCCAAACGGTATCGGTGCTGTGTTAGAACAAGAAGGGTACCCAGTTCTTTGCATTTCACACAGACTCAGCAAGGTTGATACAGGACACGCGCAGACGCATCGTGAAAGCTTGACTGTGAGTTGGCTGCACAAATACCTGTTCGGTTGGAAGTTCACCATAATAACAGATCATGAAGCCTTGAAGTATATTTATAATCCATCTAGCTCGTTGACAAAATCCTCTGCAGCGATGGTTCAAAGATTGAGCATCGCACTCAGTGCTTATGATTATGGGATAGAACGCAGAAGTGCTACAGACATTCCTCAAGTAGATTATCTTTCTTGACATGCTTGTTCGTTTGGACTTGATTCCGAAGTTAATTGCCTACTTACTCAATCACTTCCTACGTCTCGAGATGCCTTAATTAATGAAACAAGAAAATGCTTTTGCTTAATACTATCAGCTCTAAAACGGGGCTGGTCACCTCTATCGAAGTGGAAATTTGCCCAATTTTACCAACCCCGTGATGAATTATGTCTTACTCCTGATGGCATATTGTGTGTTAATGATCGTATTGTGATACTTCCGCCTTTGCGATCTACAGTTCTGACCGAGTTACATTTTTGGTATTTGGGTATTGAAAAGAGGAAGCCTATGGCCCGGTATCTGTTGGTTGCCTGAGATTGATGCCGATATTCGACAGATTGTTTCATGATGTGAAGGCTGCCGATACAAGGAGTCAGCCATCCAAATGGACTCACTGGCCAATGGCGTGTGAAGCCTGGCAGCGTGTCCACATCGATTGGTGTGGTCCATTCCTTCATGATTGTCTGCGGACATTCTGAAGAATGTCCGCAACACGTCCTGCAACACGAGGCTAATGGACGCGACTTAGATATAATCGTGCAAGAGAGTCTTGGCAATTCGCTCCAATGTTCAAAAGCAGTAAACGTGGCAAACTTGAACTTGAGACTTTTGAGGTTAGCTCTCAGAACCTTTGAGCGACGGCTAGTACCAACGCTTATTAACTCCTACATTCGCCCTCAGGTTGAATATGCAGTTCAGGCCTGGTGTCCATGGTTAAAACGAAAATTCGCTTATTGGAACAACCCCAAAGAAGATCCACAAAGGCTATGCGTGAACTATACGGTCTAAGTTACGAACTGCGTCTTCGGGTACTCGGTGTGTTCTCATCAGAATACCGACGGCTTCGCGGAGATCTTACTGTCACATACCGGATACTAACTGCAAGCGAGCATCCATGTACATCACTGTTGACTCTAGCCCCTTACAAATAAAACCGAGGCAACCACCTCAAAGTAATGACGTAACACTCCCGTTTGAATTGTAGAAAGTATTTTTACTCACTTAGAATCTGTTCTCACTGGAATGCATTACCAAGATAGGTGGTGAACGCACCAGACATGACGACATTCGAAAGACGCTTAGAGTTTCATCTTAGTGATAAAGGCCACACAACAGTTTGATGAAGTGTAATGGTTTAACCACTCATACTTCACGTTCCACGTTGGAACATTTTGATTTTAAATTTCTTTTGCATATCCATCCTGTGGGTCTTGTAAAGTTATGCTTTTTATTCCGTCATACACTATTGAACTATTGAACAATCCGGGCCAGCAACATGAAAACGATTAAGGGCTGCCATCGCGCTTCTGACCTCAGCTTCCGACTGGGCCACTAAACTAACCGGTCATAGCTCACTCTGCATCACCTGAGTAGGAAGAGGTCCGGAAGCAAGGGGCCAACTGATCTTGAAAGTGTTCCGCCCAACGAGCCATACGGTGCTTCTTATTGTGAATCAGAGTACCCCCGCTGTCCCTGATTGTATCACTGACGCCTGATTTCCTAGAACCAGTGATGCGTATCAGTTGGAAGAGTCTGCGATAATTGCCTACGGCTCCTGCCTCCTATGTAAGGTCTACCAGGCTTCCTTGTCAGCCCGCAGGCTCCGCTTTAGTTCGCGCCTAATATTCAGCCTAGTTATGGGAGGTTTCTCCTGGATTGCATCTGGTTCATCGACCTCTCGGATATCCAGTGACCGGTGCGGTAACGATTGACAGCGTCACAAATCGAAGCTCCTGCATGGTGCATTGCGGTGGAGATCCTATTCCACTGAAGCTCAGTGTCATTAGGACAACACAGCGAAAGTTCCGTGCGCATTGCGTCTTGATAGGCTTATCTGACCGAGGGAGGGGATAACTTCGTTGCCAATCGGGGGAGACGCTTGGTGCGCCTCCTGTACATGGAGAAACGACAGCGTACCAAAGCATGGTCAGAGTCGACGCAGAAAATCCAGAACGAGCGGCAATCCAGGATGGAACCATGCTATTTATAAATTATGGCAATCTAATCAATTTGGGTCCATCACTGCTCAGCTACAAGAGAACGCCAAGTGGCATTTTGGCGCCCACTGTATATAATAGCGGTGCTAATAAGAAACAGCCGATGCTCTGCACACAGCGGTAAGAGAAGCTCGCCGTTGTCCATACGGTCAGAGTTCAACCCATAATTACCACCTAGTTGGGATTTTGCAGAGCTCAGACGACCCAGTTGCGCATTAATGTCCCGTGCAAGAACTATGATATATGAACTGGTAGCACTGCGTAGTAGCGTGTTCAGTTCGTGGTAGTGTCCCTCGCAGCATCAGAACTGTAGTTGGTGGGAGCATCCGCGGACATCAAGAACAGACAGCGTCTGGTGCTACTTCGAGATCAACCTTAGTTGATGTCATCAAACGGACTGCGCACAAACGGCTGCTTACGGGAACCCAATGAACCAACGATGACTCAGCCTTGGTGCTGAGAACGATGCCCACCAGCTTGACCAGTGGTTGCCGCATCAGCGTCTCTGGATGCGTGCAACCCAGAGCGAGAGGACAAACCGGGTGCAGTTAATTCAACAACCCCGCGAAGGTCATTGATCCTAGTTTCGGACACACAACACATCTGAATACCCAGCGTGTCCAATATGCGTGCGAGTGCAGCCTGTTGACCTATGTGTCTTACAGTGGGAACGTTGAACGCCGCCAGGGAAACGGGACAGAGTGGACTTATAAAGAAATGTTGACGATTGGTGTCCAGTGGGTGGAGCGATTGCTGTCATCTAAATTGGGACAATGCAGTAAGAAGGCGAAAGCTGGTAGATGCATGCATTTTGTATTGTCTAGTCAGCTTTCGCCTTCTTACCGCATTGTTCAAATTGATAAAGGGAAGTAACTGCTTTAAATGAAATTGGGAGTTCTAAAATGAATGCTAATAATGGGAGCTGGGAAGGGAGCAAGAGAAACAGGTGGAAAAGAAAGAGAGACGTCAACAGTAGCATGTTTTCGCTTATTCACCCTGATGTATGCAACAGATAAGGCGACACTTGATAATCTGGGCGATGGCTGATGCAGGATGAAGTTTATATTTGAAGAAAAACTCAGGGTTGTATGTGGACTGAGATAATGCCAGGGCGCCCAGACCTAGACAGGAGGACGATTAGGGTCGTCATCTAAAGCCTTTGGCTCAAAAGCCTGTCCGCAAGGTAGCGACGAGATGGCAATGATTTAGTTTTATGGGAATGGATGCCATCTCATTTCAAACCCCCGACTTGGAGGACCAGGAGACCGAGTTTGTCTGACTCTCACCATTGACCAACCTGGTAGGAGTAGCTCTCAAGGGGCCCGGGGCACCACCCAATATAGCTCAATGGGTCAAGGAGGTACGCAAACCGTCACACCAGGTTTGAGTCCAGTCTCATTGCGACGGGGTTGGAGATAAGGTGGGTAAAGTCTATCAACGATAGGGAAATAACACAAATGCGTCAGCAATTGTCAGCACCATAAAAACGCACTAATGTCAGTAGAGAAAGAGCTAGAACTCTTAGTAAATTCCTAAGAAATAAGCCATAGGAGCAGGTTACAAAACGATACTCTGGAACAGGCGGAAGCAGAATGGGTGAGCCTGAAAGCTGTTGGGGTAAATCCTTTGTTTATCTGCTTACTAGCTTTATATATCCACGTGAGGTGATTAACATATTCTCTGGTTTCAGATCTCGATAAATGATGCCATGTCGGTGTAGATAATCCAGCGCTTCGATGCTGCAAGCGAGGCAAAACTTCGTTGATCGATCATCCAGGTGATGGCTACAGCGTAAGAAAGAACATATAGCGGTAGCAGTGCACTGTTAAGATGCGGCAGAGAACAACATGAAGCAACCATAAGAATAAGTGGTTGCAAAATCTACAAGCGATTCACATTAACTGCGGATCATACTGCATCCAACTGCTCTGAGGACATTGAATTATGGTGGAATATGAGTTCTGCAACTGCGCACGTTGTCACGTAGCCCTCCATGAGTCAAAATAGAGTCTAGCTAGCCACCTAAACCTGCTACTGGTAATGTGACGCTGAAGTTATACTGTAGTTAAACTGGAGGCGACACTTAGTTCCGATGGCGGCTCACTGGTCACCCGTCATTTTCGCATCTTCTGCATCTATCGGTGTTCACCGGTTGGTGCGTGTAGTTCATCCGCTCTGTTCGGTTCGATCCACGTATACTTTACTTACGGTCACGTCAGACTTTATAGATGCCTAGCCTAACCAATTCTCCAACTGCCCATCTGGCTGGCGCGATTACGTTCCACTTGCGTGGGGGCCACCGGATTCGCTTTCTCTGCACCACAGTTTGCTCTGTGGACCAGCTGCCATTGCATCCCGTGCCGCTAGTGTAGGATAGTTGATGCGCACGCTCCATTCTTATCGCCTATGTCTGTGACCAAGATGAACCCCGTTCACACAACACTGAGCCAGTTCTGATTCATCTCTCCGGCTCGTACAATTGTGGTGAGTTCGCGTATGCGGCGATCGATTGGCCTCCAGTCTGTCTACGCCGCACCGACCACCTTCATCCGAACAAACAGATAGCATCAGACTTGCAGAAGCCGGCTCTTAAGAGAAGTGCGAATTAATGAGTAAAGACTAGTCTGCATAACTGACAACACTCATGACACACAGAACGTCCTGATACATGTTGGCCTTCCATTTGAAATAACAACGATGCCCCTGAACTTCTGGCGATACACTTATGACTCAGTCTAACGAAATGTAACACCATGGCGCATCCAAGTGTTACTTAAATCAAAGGAGCCACTTAGACGGACGATCATGTGTGCTACGCCCAGTGACTGAATCAGTTAGCTTCGCGTCCAATTCACTGTCGGGTTCACTCATCTGTTCGCTCCAACTGCATCCCCCAATCACATGCCTCCCTTTTCGCTCCCCACCCTAACTACCCTGCTAAACACTCCGTAAACTTTACCGCTCCGCTTTATAGTCGTTGCCTTTGAGGTTGCGACTGCAGTACAAAAACATATGATGTATCCCGCTTCGGGTTCACCTTCTCACCGGTGCCGTCCCAGCTGTAATAGATTTCCTCTGCCTATCACCCCTACAAAAATGCTGAAGGTTTGGAATTTCTCATCTATAAATTCCGATCTGTTGTCAGAAATAACCTCTTCGGGAACTGTGTTTGTTGTAGAGTGACAATACAGCTTGCTCACTACGGCTGGTGTGCCGAACATGCGGGTCTTTGCAAGCATGCTTGCGTCCCACACAAAATGTACTGTATATGTCAAATTGCTTAGTTGTGTTTGTAAATTTGATAGCACGAAGCTTGCTTAACCGCCTCGTCTCTCTGGTCCTTGAACCAAACGTGGCGGAAGAGCGATGCGAATCCTATTCGGACTGCAGCGCCGTAGATTTGGTGTTTGCAGTCAAGTGCCCGCAGGGTAGCGGAAGGTGAGCAAATCCAAACTAGGTAACATGGACATGATCAGGATGAGTTTACCATGAACTAATGTTGAATTCAGATGTTGGGACTTGAAGGCAGTAGATAGGCGCCAATGGCATAAGCATATCATGAGAGCGGTTGCCCAGGTGCATGTAAATGCACTATTGCATGGGGAAGAGAAACGCCGGGAACGGGAGGGACAGGCCCCGATAGAGTTTAGCCCATCGACGACAAGCGCATGGTACTGTGGCACATGTGGCCGCGAGTACCTAAGCGAAGCCGAGCTGACAAGCTGCAGCTCAACCGTACGTATGTCAGCCTCCGTGTTGATTTTCTTACATTTCAAGTGTTTGGTTGTTAATTGATATCCTCGATGTGACAGTGCTTGATGTGAATGTTGACAATGTGCCTACCTGTCTAACACCTTCCATCTCAATTACTGGCCCCAGGAGACAGTTGGACGTTGCTGTCAGGACGAAGTGCACGGTTCTCCTTGTCGTACTAGACTCAATGAGTGGCTCGATCCAGTGTGAAGCGGACTACGACCCAGCCACCGCCTTGTGTACGTCTGGTATGCAAAATTCCCCACATAGAGAGACAGGAATGCTGCTACTGTGCATGTTGGAGGAGTGTGGGCCGGCTCCCTTGATGAAACGTGGCTTGCATCCACATGTCTCCTGGTCCTATTCCTCCTGGTTTACACCATATATAGGATGTGTTGAAAGAGCTGTGTGGTGTAACGCAAGCCACTCATGGTCCCTCTGAAGCCGTAAGTCTCCTGTGGCTGTCCCCATGGAGGCTACAGTGACAGGCATATCTGGAATCGGAGGCCGCCAACCAGATATAATCGTGTGTGGCCTTGAGGCTAACAAATGTGGCCCATGAGGAGTCTTCAAGTAAACATGCCTGTAATACGGCTTGAACACTAGTTGAGGTCATAGCACCAATCTCAAAATAATCACTGAACTAGTCCACTGTGACCAGATGCTTTTTCCCGTTACGTATGAATATGTATAGAGCTACTTTTGCCAGGTCTTTCTGGAACTTCTCGAACCGCCGTTGAGTCTCATGTGGTGAACGTCATCCATTCTACAGATCAAGCAATGTAACACATTGTCCCGAATATGACTGGCCACTCGGAGCCAAGGCATCAACTGTGTAGCGCAATGCAGTTGTCAACTCACAGATATGCGCTGTGGAACATTTCCAGTCTTCGGAACCAAACTTTGGATTACCTACGAACATCAGAACATCCTGTAAAATGAGTCAACCACAAAAATGAATAAACCCACGTCAGTTCTGCTGATCACCCTTCTTCCTGCCATCTGTTAACTCCAAGCTTTCTCGAGTGGCATTCTTTGTGCAGTGTTGTAACTACTGTCAACATTCCTCAGTGATAGCGAGTTATTGTATCATGTTGGCTGTGTGCAGCTTCTCCTCTACTCCCAATGTATTGAGAATGTGTAATCTTGACAGCGCGTCAGCGATATACGCTCTGGAACCGGGTAGCTGGATGAGAATTGACATATATTTTTTGAGGGGTATGAGCGAGGTGGCACAATGTGAAGTGGCTTCTTGACAGTTGACACCATGGGTTTGTGGTCAGTGTACAGTGTACATTGTGATTTTCAATATCGAAAGTGTAGTCGTTGAAAGGCTCAGTGGCATACGATGTGCGCGTAGCTGCACGCAGATGGTGTCAGCGTCCGGCTTCGAAAATCCAGTGTCTTTCTCTTTTACATCAGCACAGCCCCGAGTTCGTGGTAACTACTGTCGCACTACGTTTCCAGAGGAAAAGACGGATCAAAATATGTAGGGAACGGGGACACATACGATCAAATCTTTCATTTTTGTTTGAAGGATTCTTTATGCTCGCTACCCCAATGTTAATCTTCTACCGTATGCGTCTGTGTGTGCATGGCTATCATCACGTCTGCCAATCATGGTAAGAAGAAACGACGCAAATAGTTAACCATCTCATTCAGCCGACAGAGTCTTTTCGCATCAGTACAATGGGCTGTTTTTTTCATAACCCTTATCTTTCCCCGGTTCGTCCTAAAACGCTCGGAACTCAAGACGTGTCCATGAAACACTATCTCCATTCAGCGTAATTCAACTTCCTCACGTTTCATCCAGATAATTCGGTCTGCACAAAGCTGGGTAAAAGAAACGAAGCCAAGCTGCTGAATGGAATCAAAGTTCAGGATGGGCATAAGATCTGCTGCAACAACTACAAACTCAAGCTGATGACTGCTTCCATCCCTCGAATTCGCCACTTTCGGTATGAGATTTTCCCTCAATTGTGTTTTATCCAACCGCTCCACAGCGCAGTGATTTTCAGGCAGGATATTCACCGGGCTCCTGTATCCAAATGGAAACGCACCGTTTTCCAATCATAAAGTGTCGCACAGACAATTTTCATACCTACTTTATGTTCCAAGACAACAATGGAGAGGTCCTGAGCAACTGATGGGCCCTCCTGATCCAGTGAGTTTACCTCATTCATTCGACAATATCGCGCAAAGTAATTTTTGTTCATGTCTTACATTCAGGTTCTTCCCCAAGCTGGGCAGTTTCTGTTGTTGGAAGAGTGGCTGATGCCGTAGTATTGACAGGTTTGCTCGCGTGCCGTTACAGTCTGTGATACAGTAGTATTCAGGCTAAGAAACTGTAGATAATCCAGTCAATTGGACTGAAATTTGGACTGTTGCAAATAAGATGATTCCCAGCGAAGACATCAGAATTACCGCAATTGAAACAGTCTAAAGATCCCACTATGTTTAGAGAACTTAACCAGTATGTTAAGTTCAGCACAGGGCTTGCGGTAGCGAAAGCTTCTGTCCAGTCTTGACAAATGTATTTTAAGTTGTGAATACCCTAAGCATTTTGGAAAACACTCAGATGTAATGGAATTAGTCCTATGAATACTGAGTTGAAAACTCACACGATGAATGAACGTGGTATGTCTCGGATTAACGAACAAAACCATAGCCAGATACAGCCCCAAGGACACCTTTGATTTCTTGTCTCAGTGAGGCAACTTGAACTAGCCGGGAGAAAGATGTTCTTATTAGATATAGTGTACTTTTCCATCAATGTTCCATTGGAGACTGTTGTAACGCTTCTTCTTTCCCTCTGTTCTCTGCCACAGACCACTGTTGTGCTGCTGCTTTGCTGCCCTGTGAGACTGCGACTGTCTGACTGCTCAGTCAAGTGTCCAGCCTACGAAAGAATACAAAAGGCAAGAACTCGGTAGACAGCGTATATCTACAGGACAGATTAACTCTATTTATTGGCAAACGAAACATGCTAATGCCGGAGGTAAAGGTCACTCACTCTTCTGCGTCTGGTTTT